TGGTAGCAGCGAGTGTACAGCATTTGAAAAGTGTTCTAGAAGACTGTTCAGTAGCTAATGATTCAAATCCTCTCCAGTTAGCTCCAGAAGATGATCATCATCATGATGAGTCTTAACTGTCACAGCACATCATTGTCACCGATTCCAAGACAGCAGTATACAAGCAAGTTAACAATCAGAATGAAGGTGTACCAGCATATTCTGCAGCATAGCAACCTACTTGCGGAGATCGGGTAGACTGCATTGGGAGTGTGATCAGTTAGTTTCCCAGCTATTGTTCTTTGGTGGAACAGGCTCACTAGTTTAAGAAATAAACAGAAAGGTACTTGAAGCCAAGTATCCTTGATCCATTGTAAGCAAAAGATGAGTGAGATGGCATCTTCAGATACTTCAGTTTTCTAGGTTGTAAAGAGTAAATCTGTTCCTGTGATCCACAGGCTTGTGAGCAGATCTGTGGCACAGACCCAGTGGTAGTATTGCTAGGTGTACTTTCATGACAGTGAAACCTAACTCCCCAGCCAGAGAGTAAACAGGACTGCCAGGAGAACTCTCAGCACTCTTGTCTATTGAACTGTCCATTCATTTTGCCATTTAACTTTGGAAATGGAGTAAAATGGAAGGAAGATGCGCAAGACTACATTTTGTTTCCTATTTTTGGCATGAATGGCAATCATCTCGAGTTCCATAGAAATAAATGAGATTGCAATCCACAATAAGTAACAACCACTGACTTTTTGCACTGTATCAAACTGTAACATTTACTCTCCTAACACAGTGATAAGAAAAGGAAAAATTAAAGAACTACAGCTGTGGAATAAAGCAACACAGTACACTTCTGCTCGTGATAGCTCAGGAACAGTTCTGAAGAGATTTCTGCAAGTACAGTAATGATATAGCACACCCATAAAATGTAAACAATAAAGGAAAATAAAATTCTCTGCAGTGATTGGAGCAGAGTTCCAATTATTCAAATAAAGGATAAAACTCCACTTTGTTGACCAACAATAGTTGTCTAAGAAAATAGCACAACCAATCTCCTCCTTGCTGTGGAAAGTGATAATCCATAGGAAGTCCAAAACAATGATTCAGAGACTGAATGTATTATATTAACTCAAGGTAACATGTTACAAAAGAATGGAGGACAGAGCATGTCCTCAGTGAACAGTCCACACCAATCTACAATGGCAGACAGCGCAACAGCAGTACGGAAATGTGCAACCACATTCAGAGAGTTGTAGAAGATTACAATCCAGTTGTATTGTACATCCACTGAAAATTTACCCCAATGTGAAAGTATAATAGGCTGAATTTCACCTTGTTTTAGTTTAGTGTGAGTTGAGTCAAGTTTTTAGAGGGATTCTTGCCAATGAGGCCCAGTAAGATTTCTTGCCATGCCTTAACAAATGCATCACAGCAATTATCAACCCTGCCTCTCTGGCTTCCCTCACATCTGAATCTCGCTCTATCTTTCCATATGCCATTTTTGGAAAAAAAAACTTGCCACTCAGCAGATATCTGCTGTTGATATCTGCCAAAACACCTGCGTCCATTGTGCCCATGCCATCTTTAAAAGCCCATTGTGCACCTGAACAAGCACTGTTAGTCCAGAGTTGCCCTGCATGGTTCCTGACATTCATCTCTTATCGTGGCAGACAGGGGTAATTGGCACCTTACTCTGTGGGCAAGGATCTGGGTTGGCACAAAAAGTTTTATTTTTAAAGAATTCCTTCCCTTGCAGATACCTTTCCCCGAGATCCAAATTAACTTATGTTTTTTAAAGAAGCAATTTTAATGAGGCTTACTTGAATTAACAAACAGAGTGAGTTTATTAATTATGAAAGGTGAGATGAAATAGTAAGCAAACACATCCAAACTAGAAGTAAGTCCAAAAAGATAGAAACAAAGAAAAATATGCAGATTAGTCTCTGAATCATTCGTGAAGAGCATTTAGTTGAAAGTTACAGCTGCCGAAGTAGATGTTTCTGGTAGAATTAACTTTGGTAGCAGGTTGGTTGAAACTCTTGTTCTAATTCCTTTTGACTGTAACTGCTGTCTAGCTGGATTTTAGGAACACAGAGTGAGAGAATCCCTGTGTTATTGTCGTCGTTGATACAATGTGAGCTGGAGGAACACAGCAGGTCAGGCAGCATCAGAGGGGCAGAAAAGTCAATGCTTCAGGTCAGGACCCTTCATCAGGACTCTGTTGTGCTATTTCCTATTGACTGGCTTGTTGGCTGATTGGCTCCCCGCACTGAGAATGAGAGAATATATTTTCTCCCTTTTCTTTACCTGCACTGCAGGGGAATTTAATGGTGTTCTCAAAGGTGTGAAGCTCACAGTACACAAGTCCACATACTAGGTCATAAATCACAGACCAGGAATAAAACTCACTTTTAACTGTATTTTTGTTTATCCCTGGAAGGGTATAACACAAACATGCTGAAAAGGATTGGGATAATCAGGCATTCATTATCTGTCCTTTCTTAAGCTTCCATTTACATTTTCGTGAACAAAAACAGAAGTTGCTAATGAAGCTCAGCAGGTCTGGCAGCATCTGTGAAGAAAAAAATCAGAGTTAAAGTTTCGAGTCCGGTGACCCTTCCTCGGGTTCTGAGGAAGGGTCACCAGACTCGAAAAGTTAACTCTGATTTTCTCTTTACAAATGCTGCCAGACCTGCTGAGCTTTTGCAGCAACTTTAAATTTTCCTGCTCTGTACAGCTGTGACTTTCCAGAATTTTTCCAGATGGCCACTGGATTTGCCTCCATAGTCACCTTGGCTGTATTAGCCCTCTTTTGGGGGTCAGTTAGTTCAGTTGGTTAGGAGGTTGGCTTGTGATGCAAAGTGACGCCAACAGCACAGGTTCAATTCCCACTGTACAAGTGTCTATGACAGAATTGTAATGTATTTGGTTAAATTTATGAATAAACGTTCTGACACTTGTTCTCGGTAAGAACCACGTCTCATTGTTCATGTTACAAGAGTTAATTTAATAACATAAAAACACGCCACTCCTCTAACACCAGGTTTATATTATTGACAATGTTGGAAATGATGGTCCCTTTAAGAATGAAACAAGACATGCTTCAGATATCAGAGCAAGCAGCTGAGGCCTTGTGTGTGCAATAACATTTATGAATAGGTTGATTAGAAAATATCAAGGGATGGTTTTCACCCCTCTCTCCCTGCATTTCTCTACTTTTGTTGTTGTTGCACAGCCCCTGGAGGACTGCACTTGCAAATTGTACTCTTAGTTACCAACACTGCTGATTTAGTGTGTTACAACATCTCTTGACAGAAAAAAAGAAGGGCCGTTTATTCCCAGTAAAGGGATTTGGTAAGACCATAATTTATTGGAGCAGAATTAAGCCATGTAGCCCATTGAGTCTGCTCCACCATTCAATCATGTCTGATTAGTTTCTTAAACCCCATTCTCCTGCTTTGTCCCTGTAATCCTTGATCCCCTTACCAATCAAGAACCTATCTCTGTATTAAATACACTCAGTGACTTGGCCTCCGCAGCCTTCTGCAGCAATAAGTTCCACAGATTCACCAGCCTCTGGTTGAATTAATCCTTCCTTACCTCAGTCCTAAAGCGTCTTTCCTTCACTCTGAGGCTGTGCCCTCAGGTCCAAGTCTCTCCTACTCATGGAAACATCTTCTTCACATCCATTCTGTCCGGCCTCTTTGTATTCTGTAAGTTTCAATCAGATCCCCACTCATGTTTCTCAGCTCCATCAAGTACAGACACAGAGTCCTCTACCCCTCCTCATATGACAAGCTCTTCATCTGCCAGATCATTCTTGTAAACCACTTCTGGCCTCCCTCCAAGGCTAGCACTTCCTTCCTTACAGAGCCCAAAACTGCTCGCAATATTGAAAGTACAATTTGACCTGAGCCTTATACAGCCTCAGCAGTTCATCCCTGCTGCTGTATTTTAGCTATCTTGAAATGAATGCTAACATTGCATTTGCCTTCCTAACTTCCAAATGGACTTTCATGTTAACTTTAAGAGAATCCTGAACTAGAATTCGAAGTCCTTTTGTGCGTAGGATTTTTGAAACTTTTACCTCTTTAGAAAATAGTCTATGCTTCTATTCTTCCTACCAAAGAGCATAACCTCACATTTTCCCACATTGTATTCAATCTGTTACTTCTTTGCCCACTCTCCCAGCCTATCTAAGTCCTTCTGCAGCCTCCCCACTCCATCTACACTGCCTGTCCCTCCACCTATCTTTGTATTATCTTTGTATTATTAACTTAGCAACAAAGTCCTCAGTTCCTTTGTTCTGATCATGAATGTACAGGAAGACAAGAGAGCACACTGGAGTTTATTTTGAACTAGGAAATGCAAATAAAGAGTTGTGGAAAACAGGCTGACTCTTCAGTTCAACAAGGTGCAGGGCTGGATGAACACAGCAGGCC